GGAGTTATGGGGGCTTAAAACTCCGTTCTGGCGGAAACTCCGTTTTGAGAAATGGGTTGTCTTTGGCGACCCATTTTGCAGGTCCAGAAAACAACATTAACTCCATGAAAACGGAGGTTTCCAATAAGCAACTTGGACCTACTTTTTCGCTTAAACTCCGTTTCGAAATTTCTTCGTATCCCACCCACTAACGGAGGATGGTTAGAGCGTTGTTTTCTGCTGAGGCCAGCTCCCAAACGGGCCCTTATTAGTAAACCTCGACAAAGAAAAAAAGGGCAAGTAACGTGATCAAATCATAGACTATCACTCGATTACACGCTTACAAAGACATGGAACGCTGAAATATTGATATACAACTTCCAAGTATAGGCTTCCGGAATTCTATGAGATCGGACTATCTGCAAATTGATCATATAGGGTAGCTCATTATCCCGTAGCTCTGTAGACGTGTAAATCTAGCCGAAGAGCTGAAGAGTCATATCATGGATTGGAATCAATGAGAATATTACAAAACCCACGATAAATACCGAATAAACTGAACCAAAGTCATCAGAAACATCAACATGGACTTTAAGAATGGGCGACATCCCATAATGGAGAAGATCTTTCTTTCAGATGTTCAAAATTTGGTTTATCCTCTCACGATCATTATTATCAGACAACCGGGACAAAGGTTAGAGTAGAGGAAACCCCTGGCTAACAGAAAAAGACAGATAATTACAATTTCAAGAGATCTAAGACTAAATTTGATCTAACTTAGTTTCGATTCTCATTCCCGTTACCCCAAAACGACCTCGACGGTGCGAGACCAGCCAAAATCTTACAGTAACAAATATCACCGTGGATACTAGCGACAGGAGTCGGAAACATGCCATTTGAAGGAAGATAGAGCTGAATAAATTAATCCAGCTGTTAAGGCTATAAGTCTTCTGGTAAGTCTCTTCTGGGACCGCGGAGTGTGAGAAACTAAGTCTCACCGGGAATGACGTCATCGGGTGATATTCTATGATTCCGCTATCTTTTCGAGTGATATTTCATGATTGATTCTTGAGACGTACCTCTCATCTCTGAAGACTATCCTGGGTTGAAACCATTGATAGTGGAACTCATAAACCAATAATTTGGGGTAGGCGAGCGTGCTTTCTCATGCTTTGAAAAACATTGTTTCTCTTTCCTCTGTCAGTGCACTGTGGCGTATCATTTTGCTGCTTTCGGATTCACAGTTACAATTCGTATCCAAGGCCGTGTTAAAAATGGAGGAAACTGCAAGAAACTTTATCAAAAGATAAAAATTTCAATTCAAACCATGGGCACGTAAAAATAAAATTAGGGCAAGCCCTATAAGTTCTTGTCCTATACCTCGAAGCTGTGGCTTGACACCTTTGTGAACAAGGATGACCCATGGTCACATTCTGAAATCCACTTACCACACACACCATTATCACTTTGATCATTACCTCTGTTTGTTATCAGATATGAATTGGAAGCCGTTACCCCGTGGGTATGACCCCACACCAATCCAGGCAGGCCGCGATCTCGATTCCAACATAAGAGCGAGCAGATCATATCCATTCCCTTGCCTGCAGGAGCCGGTTGAACACGTGTTCCAGCGACTTGTGAAAGACTGGCCGTCAATAGCCGATATATAAACGGATCGCATAACCAAAAGGCTTTCAACCAACCAGAGGTCCATAAATTAGGCTTAAGCCGTCGCAGATACCATTATTAGCCCCTGTTTGGCTGTGTCCTCCAATTGGCTGTATCTTATCTCATGGGCGGGGCCATTTTTCCACCTTCAGACCCCATTTTAAAAGACGTGTTCAGCTATAGAGTAAATTGGCGGAGACAGAAGAAAAGCAAAGAAAAAGTGCCTGATTTCTGCTACTAGGAGCTCGGCTGCAGTGATCTTCACACCTCCCTCCAAGGTATCCCCAAAACTCAAGCCACAGGCATAGACAACTACTTAACTGAAACGACTAAAACTCAGCAATGCCCATTTCCCTTTTTACTCTTTATGAACATTTCAGTTCATGAAAGGAGAATGCGCTGCAGGATCGATGAATAAGCGTTTTGGAAGGTCTCTAGAGATCTAACCATTGCAAAATATCTATAGATGTCTTATCCTGAAAGATGTTCATTTACATACTCATCAATCTTTCTGTATATATTATGTGATGGGGGTGTACATATCTTTGGAGTCAAGCCGTATGTAAAAAATAGATGCAGCCAAGACTTGGGCACTGGAAAGAATTTTTCCGTACGATCAGCCTATAACGCAATCCGATCTCAATAGAGAGAAAAGACCTAATAAGGCCGTCTCGAGGGCAAGTTAACACGAGACATGGTCGAATAGAGCAGGTATAACATTGAAACCAGGAATGGATCAGCCCTCAGAACTCGGAGAGTTAATATCTCATATACTAGACATTATCTGCCGCATGTGAAAACGTGACCGGTCGAAAAAAATGGTTAGCAAGAAAAACGAGGCCGGTCGAAATAAATGGCTAGGAAGAAAACCTCGGCGATTCCGGTTCGGTATATTCCCATAGAGCGGTGGAGGGTCGGACGAGACAAAGGGTATGGCGAGGCTCGGGATTCTTTACCAGCAAATCGATGCAGATCTTTTAGTTAGAATCCCGGTTCGTGGGCCATTGTCTCGTTATACCCTCCGTCTCACCCGACCCTCCACCGCTCTATATCTACACCCACAGGATTCCTGCGCCCTGACCCAAATATCGTGTTTTATCTGCGCACGGCAGAACCACCGCCGATATCTCAACACACCATGTCCCTCTACACCTCACTGGCGTTTAATTAAACGCTCGCAGGCACTGCTGGACAACATTCTTTTGCGTTTATCCCTTAAGCTGGCAATAAATGCTGACCCCCTCAAAAAAAGGAAATATCCGTGCGGCCCTACTAACAGGTCCTGTTATCTCTCTTACCAAATAATAGATCTCTCATATAAATGTAATTCCTCTATTATAGGGAGGCCAGAATGCCGGCTTAAGGGACACCGTGGGTGTGGGCAAAAAAAATCCGCATTGTATAGAGGATTTCCAATTCGAAAGTCATACTCTAGATACCATGCGGGGCAGCAAAAAGCAAACCCCTGGGTTACCATCTTCCCGTTAACCGATAGACTCCAAGCCCAGAAATCTGTTTCTACTAATCGGTCTCAAGCGAACGCCTTATGCCTGAAGCAGTACCCTGATACTCAAGTTAACTACCAACGTGCTTCCTCCTTGAAAATGGCTTTCAGATGTTTTCAGCCGCAACTTTGTTTAGACTTCTCCTGCACTGGCCTTTTGGTTCTTGTGCGGAGGGATGACAGATCCACATATCACAAAATCTCGGTGATGCGGATGCGGAGGTGCTAGCTTCAGGCGCGGTTAAATCTTTAACCTAAACCAATCCGCAGGCCCGACCACAAGCCGAAGGCTTGCTTTTCGCGTAAGTAATATATTTTGACATCTTCTTTTCTAGGGCTGATAAGGTGAGCACGAATTACAAAGAGGTGTCAAGGTCTCACACTAATTATAACCAAAGTAGGTACCTGCACTTCCTGGTATGTATGCTGTGGAACCATTTTCGTTCCAAATTGCTGTCTTCAAATCAAGCTCTAGTAGTGCCAATATTGAAGACACGACATACGATCTTTGCATCCGGAATATTGTTCCATGTTTTTCATATGCATCTTTCCTAGTCATATCAGCAACGACGTAGCTGCGAGTCGAGAATCAATTGCTCATAACATGCAATAATTCGCTACAGTGTCTGTCTCTACTGTGTGTACATACCTAACACCTATAGGGGAGGCTTATAGAATCGAAAAACAACACAAATCCATCAGCTTTCAACACCAACATCAGTGATAAGCATGAAGAGCAAGTGCAAGTTTTTCTGGTAAGAAAGATTGAACTGGGCCGTGGTTGTTACTCACATAGGTAGGCCCTTGGCGATTCTCCTTGTTTTGGCTGCCTATGGAGAACGTTCGGTATTTGGTGGGTGATTGCTTTACAGCACTTCAATTATGTGCATATGTATGACACATGTGTTAGCTTGCGACGAACTGAGGTGGATGGGGAAATCGGTAACGGCGGAATAATCGCTTCTGGGATGAGCTTGTTTACCACCCCCCTTCCCCGGTATATGTGTCTGTTACTGTTGTGGTTGTCACTGGGATTGTAATTGGCCAGTGCTTGTTGCAATGGCGGGCCGCGGGCAATACTGAGTTTTACCGCCAGTACCATGTATGTGCTGGAAGATACAAAGAGAATTTACACCAAGATCTGCATTCCGAGTACATATACATGTGATCTTTGCTGCTGGATGCGCATCTAACCAGTTATTCGACCCTGTTATAATAAGCTGGGTGCAGGCATCTCTCAAAGTAGAACGAGTAGGTAAAGTGGTCAAACCCTTTACTCAAGACCATCCAATGTAATTTTACGTAATTCATGACTTGGCAAAAGCACTCAACAACTGGATACATGTACTGTAAACCATCTGAATGTTATGTAGTATCTCACCTTGCACCATCAACACCACCTGAGTATCATCTCGATCGCGAGCCCGTTGAAGATTTCTCCAATGACTGGCAGTCAAGATCTCACAAAATAAACTAGATCAGAATTTCTAGTGTACATAGAGTAGCACTTGATATACATACGGTATACCAGAGCCCCCTAGTATATCCCATGCCTGGTAAATTTCAATCCCTTCCTCTACCTTAAATTATTATAATACATTACTAAAACTGGTGCAACACTCTTCATCAAACGGCCCAGAGAATACACGAACTCTACTAATAATACTAGTACTACTTAATATTGAAAATATGAATATCAATTTGCTTTTTACTACCTACAAATGCCTCTAAACATAAGAAAAAGCGTTCAGCTGACACGAAATCAATTACTAGACTTCCATATCTCATCGACCACATTGGGATTGCCCCATTAACATTCCTCATTCATGCCTCCCTACCCATCTCCTTACTAGGCCCTGGCCCCTGGTCCATAAACCGTTGTATATGGCCTCGGTGCTTTCCCACCAACCCCGACTTCGCTCGCAGCATCCTCAATCCTAACAAATCCTTGCGGGAACGCCATTCTTCCCACCCCCGCCGCCGGAGGTGGTGGCAATGCTCTCTCTTTGGTCTTTGGGTGACTGGCCCTATACCTCTTGTGAAGCCAAAACAACCCTGCGCACAGCGCCATCCACCCCACAATCCCGCCAGCGACAGCGCCAATTATTGTGGTTGCCCCTACATCTGGTGCGGCAGCAGCAGTTGTCCCGGCAGCAACAGCGGTGGCAGTGCTATCAGCAGCGTTGACGCGGACCTCGCTGGTAGTTGTACCATTGCCATTCTCCGCTGCATCAGTGTTCACATTGTCAACAGTGTTACTGGCCGTCGTCTGGTTCGTATTCCCGTTCTCGTCCCCCAGTGAGGCAACATTGCCCTCATCCTGACTTTCCGGTTGATTGCTGGTTAACATGCTCCCTCCATCTACTGCCTCGCCATAGCCCGCCGGGGTGCCGTCACAGACGGTGCCGACGGGACAGCAGCCGACTACATTAGAGGGAGTACGAGTACATAGCGTACTGGAGGGACAACAGGTGTTGTTGCTGCAACAGGTCGAGCCCTGTGGGCAGTAACCGGTTCCGCAGGTTGTTGCACGTGGTGCGAGAGTATGGGCTGGGCTGGTGAGGGGGAGAGTTGCTGGAATTATAGTTGGGTTGCTTGAAATGGCAAGAGAGGCGACGAGGTTGGGAGCAACGAGTGCCAGTACGTATACAGTGATGATCAAATGCAGTTGTGATAAAAACATGGCGAATAATCAGTGATTAAAAGTCGTAATAGTAAAATCTAATAGAAGCCTGAGGCCAAAGTTTGGATGAAAGAGTGTATTGAAAATGAAGATATCAGTTGCAATAACTGGATTCGGCCACCTGGACTGAACTGAACTGAAATAGGTACACAGAAAGGAATGTGAATGATTATCAGAAGTCGATCTCTCCCCCAAGGACCTGGGAATTACGACAACTTTATTTCCCCTCCAACCTTATCCAATTCCCCTGCTCTAACGAGGTTTCGACTTGGAAACACCAATTATACCACTCCTGGATAAAGCGACCCTCGTAAAATCCACTTAACACCCCAGAATAGGACAATTTGCATCCACGGCGGTTGCAGAATCGCCCTGTGTGGTGCTTTTGCAAGCAGGCGTGTTACTATAAATAGCATCGAGACAGGGGACAGGGGTATGGAGACGCTGGGCTTGCATGTGCAACCATTGGTGAAGGCGAGCGTGTAGCAGGATATTAACTCTAAACGCCAATGAATAAAGTTGTGAAAAGGGGGGGTTTCCGGGTGATTCTTTGGCTGGCGGTGATACTGATATGGGTTTCGATATAGAGCGATGATATTATGGTTATTACAGCTGGGGCATTGCACTGGTAGGTTGTACTGGTATGTTTGGTAGTACAGGAGTTAGACTGGTAGGGAAGGTTGTACCAACAGGATTGCTGGTATCACAAACTCAATACCTACGACCTACAGAGACCACTCGCAAGATTGTAGAGTGTTCAGGTATGTAGGCGGGATCCTTTGAGCACACATAAGTAGATACCACTTCTGATCAATAGAAAGAGTACCTACATGTACCTAAAAAAAATACAAATCAGGCCAGCGACTCAGCCGGGATCAGTCAGATCGGGCCAGCGAGCAAGCGAGCTTATCGATGGGATGCCTACATTATGTACACAGCACCACCATACCCACCGCCAAAGCATGTCTTGCTTTCTACATGCAATACTTGCTTACCTTATGATTATACCGCTAAATCTCGAGTTATTCGGGGGGTTGCCAAGGCAAAAAGCTGAGGATCTTCACCTTTAGAGGAAGCGATCTTCAAGAAAACAGCCCTCTTTTACAGGATCTAAACTAAATCTAGTTTAGCAGGTGGCCTTGGCAACCCCCCGAATAACTCGAGATTTAGCGGTACTCACCAACTCTAGAGCACCCCATAGAAGAGATTGGACGACTTGGATGTAGTATCTGTCATACCTTCCCCGCCACATGCACAGGTTGGCGATTGGAAGGGCAGATAGGATAGATCGGGCTGGGAATAGTATCTTCCGCTGCCTTTCACCGCTCGCATAATAGTGCTAACAAAATAACTTTACTTGCATCCGCATAGCCTAGGGTTTGCAAACCAGTATCCTCTCCCGTGAATTAATGAGGCGAATGCATGTACGAATTAAGGGACCGGCGGGGGGAAACAATGGTAACAGCACCCGCAAGTATTTTGCGAAATAATATTTTTGTTGATAACGGAAGGCCTCTGATTTGCACTTACTCAGTAAATACTGCGAATTAAATTCTTACTTGCTACTTGCATATCCAGGTTCTTGCCTACCGGGCCCGAGTATTTGGCAACGCGCCGTTAGACTGTGGGTCTTTTGGGAGGGTACAGGTTTGATTTGGCATGCCTACATACACGACCCAGCATCGTGTATGCATGTTAAGGTCGCGTAGTGGCGATTCTGGCCCGAATCATGCTTCTTCTATGTACTGTCTACAAGATTTTTTGATATCCGGTGTACCCATGCACGCGCCTCTGGTACTGGTTACATGAGCTGGAGTTTGGCGTTTTGGGCGTGGAAGTAATTGCTCAAGACATAGGTAATCTGGAAAATTTATGTAATCAGCAGCACCACCCCCAGGTATGATTCATGACTCCAGTTCGATATACTCCTTGCTTCGCAGCCTCCTATTTCATAGAGCGCACAAGAGGAGAGGAAGAACGAGAGGCCGCGAATATTCGAATATCAATAGCTAATAGTAGTAGTAACTGGATCATCGTAGAGTTTCATAGCTCGCATATTATAGTCAAGAGGAGCACTCACCATGCGCCAGCATAAAAATCATGTGTACGCAGTACCAATCAAAAAATTCTTTCTTCGCCCGAGCTCGAAATGCAGTGGCCGCAATGTACATACTTCACTCTTCTCAGCTGACCCCGCAACTATTAAGAAGAATTCAGCTTAAAAATACCAGCGCAGGGAATCATGCTTTTCGAAGTAATTGAAGTATTGAGGGCGTCTAGTTCTAGCGCCTTGGTAAGCTAGTTCATGTCGCCTACAGTGTCCCATATTTGATGATTGGTGAGAATGGCAGAAGAAATTGATTGGACACCTGCAGGCGAATTTGGATTTCCTACGCTGGTTATCCTGGATCGATTGATCACTTGTGCCTCTAACATGATATCGATAGCAACCTGGGGAATGGGATATTTCCATACAGCGTTTAGCCTCAATACATAAGTCCCCGGATTCTCATTCTCCGTGCCCGCATCTTAGAATAAAGTCTCCCACTGGTGGAAAGGTCTGTGCTAGCAGTGCTTAGAATAAAGTCTCCCACTGGTGGAAAGGTCTGTGCTAGCAGTGCTTACCAAGAGTCTCCCTCCCCGCTCTGCACGCCCATCATGCGTATTTTTCTTTTCTGTCTCGTTTAACCCTTCAACTATTAAAACCCAGGCGGCCGGGAAACCCACCTCAGGCGAGACGAATCAGAGCCGATGATGGTCGAATGACAGAGGTGCAGTGAGGGGTGGTGTTAGGCGCAGCAGCGCGTTAAGATTTACACGCGATCTGCATATTGTCCAATCGATGATTTCGCCTGGAACCTGGCACGACCCCTCCCCCTCAAACTTGGCTTGGAGGATTGTAATCCAGTTTTCAGAAAAGCATCGTGGTATTGACCTTGATAGTTGTAGTAGCCGTGGCCCAGTCCCAATTCAAAAAATTGGGGGGCGATCGCATGAATGAATGGTATTGCCTTCTCATTCCGGAATATGTATGCTGGTTGTACCCATATCAAGGTCATGTCCGTTATTTCAATTGACCCTGATAGCAAATGTCTCTAGACCGGTAATCAGTGGCCTTGGGCTCACACTCAAAGTATCACATCGCTGGAGGGATGCTGATTTATCCTTCATCGCAATGAGGTGCCGTTATGTGGATGGACCAAAAACTGATGATGCAGTTCATAATTTGGTTTGGTTGTGATTGTTAGTTGGCCATGGAGTAGCCAATCGGTGTTGGTCCGACATCCATGTCACTTGCTCAGCCTTCCTCTGATTGGGAGATACGTGAGGTATACGAACCTTGGCGCCAAGGAAATAAGGCTAGGCACAAGACTACCAAAATCCTTTACTCTCTTCATTCAGGGCACGATATACAGGCACAAATTTACATAGAGCAGTACAGCTGTATCATACGAATGTAGGTACTACTCTAGTATCTCGTTTTTTGCACGGACCACCAGAAAATATCTTATGATGTTTCGCCAAGAAATTGTTGTATGGCAGACCAGGCCCGTTTCAAGAACGTCAGAGAACTACGGGTAGAAGAAGATTTGCAAACGTTTGAGATTTCAATGCATGTCTGTTGGACTCATCTGTGAAAATCTGCACATGTCCTACGAGGACTAATGAACGAAGTCTACATGCGCGTAACTGAAACCCAAACAAGATCCGTACTGCACTTGCCCTCCCGGCAGAATAATATCACAGAAACTACATAGCCGCCATGGAAAGCCTTCTTGTTTGCTGATTACATATTGATAGCCCTATGTCTCAAATTATCTTTCCCCAGATTCTCTCTATTTCCCGGGGTTGGCTTATGAAAATGGTCTGCTGAAGCCATCAAATCTTATGCCTGTCGTGAGTACTTCTGGATACGTCGCCTGTCTGATCTTTGTACGACAAGAAGCATAACGTTCTTCATCTTCTTACTTTGTTTCTCATCCTTCTATCATCATTCCATCATCATTCCATCCAGCTTAAGATCGTTCTTTGAATAGATCATCCATCAGCTTTCTTCTTGATGTAGATTCCACCTACAACTGGCTAGGATTATCACGTACCCTGTTGTTGGCGACTAGACAGGGGTATCTTTTTGGAAAAGACAAACCAGGCTCTTTTTATTGGCCCAAACCACCCTGTCTTTGAATATTTGGAATCACTCAACGGTTGTAGTCCAGACTGTTACTCGGTGTGCAATGTGATAGGTTGTATGGTATCCCATCAATAGATTAACACAATGAATTCCCCTAGCGAAGAATTGAATCATTAATAGCTAAATCGTTTCTCGGTTGTTGACGAAAGAGGTTCGATAACGAACGGGCATTTGCTGGTCATGAGCAATGGGAAATGATTGTGAGCCAGGCGTTTTCCCTCCACTGATTTCCGCCCTTCTAACTAGTCGATAGATTGTATTCAAACAGTTTCGCCAACGACACAGAAAAGAGTGTAAACTCTCCATATAAAGGCCTTGGCAGGGTATTTATTTGATTCTGCGCACCCACTGGCCTTGTCTCCGACCCTGACTTCCCTGTCTGGCGACTTCTAAGATACCTATATTCATATACATCCTTCACCCATGTACTCTACCTGTCTTACCGACACAAGCGAGCAGAACTCATGTTTAGCGAAACGCCCCACTGGGGCAGCCAGACCACCGATGATTACATGTAATCAATTAACTATCCTGGTTGCAAGCGCGGCTTATGCCATAAGGTTTACACGCGTTTGAAGTTAACAGCAGCTAATTATACTTGTGAGTCTGAACATATATATTCCTAGTTTACCCGTCTCGCCACATTTCTTTGCTGCGTTCAATAACCGCCGCCGCCGCCGCCGCCGTACTACATCCACATATAAGTGGAGCCGTGGTCATACAGGGCGGCGACTAAACCTAATAATAATAATATGCGGTACTGATAGATACTCCTTTAACCCCCTGGGGGAACGGGAATCCTTACTATTGTGTTATAGCAGCAGAATTTTGCTTTCAAAAATACTTATTTCTATAACTTGTGCCCGGGAATGCGGTGTCAGAAAGTAGCAAAACTCAATCAACCCACCGGCGGGGAGGTCTAGAACAACCACCTCGCTGGCATGAGTATACCGATCCTACACGCCTAAAGCTTAAGGGCGGCACCACCGGGGGAGGCAAAGGCTAGAATTACACCTTTCAATGTACCAATCATATAGCCTCGGTAGGACGTTAAGGCCATCGATCAGGGTTGGATTTTTAATACGCGTGAGGCTGTCTATGCCTATATTCTTCTTCATAGACTCATAAAGCAATATGTCCCGTCCTTAATTTATACTTGGCAACAGTCAAGTGATCTGTTTGATATGCGGCATCTTGTCAAAAAAGGTTGTAGTGGGTAATGATAGAAGAGCACTTATGGTGCGGTGTGCGTTGGCAAAGAATATAGGTAAAGGTGCCCCTTGAGCTGGAGATTTGGGATTAGGATCTGAGTTTGAGATCTGGGGGCTGATCGGCTTGACTGGCAAGCAGTGAGACGGATGGTTTTTTACGATTCGGAAGTGAAGCTCCGTGCCCAACCCAACTCTAAAGAAGAGTATGTAATCAGAGTCTACTCTACTCTATTAACCCGAGTCTTTGGTAACCAGTAGATTTGGCTAGAGTGCTTACTCTTTACTCGCACACACATATGATTAGAGGTGCAGTACGAATTGTGTTTTAAATTGTTCTGCACGCATTATTGGCTGACTGGCAGAATAGAACCACCATTCCAATTAGCTTGGCGACCATCTTGTGCTTCTTCGCACGGCTAAACAACCAAAGTCGCATAATTGAAAAACTTGCGCTGGCCGGTCGCGGCCACACTGAAGGAAGAATCTCTGAATTTTATGCACCACAGTATTATGCAACCGAGGATAGCAGGCATCATAATCTTACGTTTAGTCAACAGGTAATCCAACGCGAATCCTATCAAAACCCTTTCGTAAATCTTCCTAGGGGAAAATTTGAATTAAATATTGGCACTTGCGGTAAATGCAACTGCAAAGCATACATGCGTTTGGAGACGAGAAACCGAGTGCTTGCTCATGATCATGCTCGGTTGCTATGGGACCTTGCTTCTTTGGGATCAATCAGGGGGGGTCTGCCCAGACCACGGGCCAGGCAGGTTGGGGTTTGAGGTTTGGAGGCTTTATGATCCTTTTTTTGCTAAAATTCTAGGGTCGGTCACATCCATACCACCAGCCTAGAAGCGCGAATTAATAGGTCAGGCGTTAAGGCGTGTACGGACACTGTCAGTTCCCGTTCTGCCCGTAAGCCGCACCAAACGGAATCAGGGAATAAATTCTTCACGGCCAGCCGCTATAGCTAATAATATATCACATACATACATCGAATCCTCGGCCTCTCTCCTGCATTTTCTCCGCATAATATTCGATCGTGGAGGACACTTGATCATGTATACCAAAATTACTTTTACGCGCGGAGTAGGAGAGGATCATAGGTTAGGGGGAGGAAGAAGAAGAGGATTAAGCGATGTCCATACGGGCGGTAGGCGAAGATACACGCAAAACGCGAAGTCAAATAGTGGTGGAGAGGAAGAAAGGTGGGAAGCACGATCGTGTGCAATCGCTTGTACGATTTGGTTTGCGCGATGGGAGGGGTGGTTATTTAGAAGCATGGGGATCGGGGACGCGCGGAAAAGCTATTGAATGTGATTGATTGGTCAGGCATCCATTCTGGACCCGAAAGTGGATAAAGATTGGTCTGTCTCAGGAACGAAGGGTAAGGAGCAAAAAAAGATATTTTTATTTGCTTTTTGATTCCGTGATTTAAAGGTTGATTTGGATTTGGATCAGCATGTATTAGATATCGATTCCTAACTAAAACTACCTAAATGCAAGCTTAAGTAAACCGGCCCACAGCCGACACCCTACGCTGAACTGTCTTAGCCCAAAAGTCCACACAAAACAATAATAATACCATAAACTCATACCACCTTTAACCAAGGAGAAATCACTCATGTTGACACAACTTCTAGTAGGACGCCGCCAGCACACACAAAAGAAATGAAAGTACAAAACTCCGAAACGCTCGATAGACAAAAGGAAAAAGAAGAGGCGAGAAAACATGGAGGGGTCGTGAATTTACATAGAGAAAATAACAAGAAAAGGGTTGATACAAAGAAAAGATCGCGCCGGAGGGATTTGCTGAAAGAAAAAAGGGCAAGAAAAGAAAATATACAATATCTCCATAGCTAGGTCTCCCAGTCGTTATTCCAGTAATATCTGGCAGAAAAATTAATGGTCATCAAAGACAGGAAAAAGCATCAGAAACAGATAAGGAAAGTAAGAATCAGCTAAATGCAGAGGTTGAAGACTGATATTTTCGAGATGTGATTTGACGCTGTCATCTCATACGTCTGCTTCCTGAATTCATCCGGATAATGAATCCCACTCTGTGGGAAGCTTCTTAGGGGTGGTAAGTGAATTGGTCCTTCGCTAATGCTCGTAGTAGTAAATTCAAAATTTTGAAATCGTGTTTTGATTGGATCTAGAGTAGGACTAGAGGAGTCATCGCAGCTACTGCTACTAATCACAGACTGAAGTATCATGGACCGTCGTTAGCACAGCTTGATCCAATTTGTTTTCATCTACATTTCCGCCTAATGTAGGGATTTGTCAAAGTCAAGGTACCTTTGAGTCGCCCCGGTCGTAGCACAGGCCGCCAGTACCAATAGGTGACCGCCTTGAGCTCTCCCACTCGTGCTCTCCGCCCTCTACGTGAAAACTCATTCTTGCACCACTGTTTGCTCGAAGCTCTGCTGAAGTTGTTGTATTGTGCCTGCTGCTGGCCCATCTTCCCCTTGCCCTCCTTCTTTCCGTAGAGTCGAATCCCCCAATATCGCTCTCTGATCCATCCTCCCTCCCGTCGTCATCCTCTTTCCTTAGTTGAGGAGAAACATTAGTAGCGTAGCGTTTATTTCTCTCGGCATTTTTCTTCTCCTCGATGCTGGCTTTGATGACACCCATCCACTCATAGCGTCGATTCGTTGATGGAATAAGTCCCAAATCGGGTCTTGAAGGCTCCTTCTTCTTGCGAATCTTGACGGGAAAGTCGAGAATTCTGTAGTAGCGTGATTGGAGGCCACTCTCGGAACGAATGTGTGGTTCAGATTCAAATGGGTGCCAGTGGTTGTTGTAGAGCTGAACAACCTTACGCCAGGACATTGCCAAGTCATCTCGGCAGAACCAGATGAAGTCTTCTTGCTCCTTAGTGTACTGGGGACGAGGCGCCCGCTTCTTTTTAGGGCTAGAATTATGGGGAGATGGTGAGTGGTCATGGTCGTCGTGTGAGTGTTTTCGTTTATGTGGAGGTATTGATGTGATCTGCAGGGGAGCTGAAGTCAGGATGGCAGCTAACACTGAAGCTGGGGAGTGGGGCATACATACCTCTTCGCTGAACGACCTTCCCTGTGAATAAGAGCCCTCTGGCGAAATTGGCTCTGGGGAAGATGGTGTGTTTAACAGGGATTGCAGTCCTGTGCGGTCCTGCTGCTGGGACATGCTGACAGCTGCCGGAGAAGTAGTACTGAAGTTGCGGTCCTCCCGTCTTGATTGAGATGCTGGGAATGAAGGGCCCAGCATACCATTTATGGAGAGCATGAAGGGTGAAATAAAGTCTTTGTCTTATAGGCTTTTTTTTTTTTTGTGTTGTCTGTTTCGGAGGTGGTGGAACGCTGTGGGAGGTGAAGGTGGATTGTGGATGATGTTGTGGGTATTCAAGATGAATGAATAAAACCAAAGATTGAACGAACGAATGTGGTATGGTGACCTACCGGCTAGTAGTAATGGGCTTCAGATCAAGTGAGCAGCTGTGTTCGACGCGATGGGGATAGGTAGCTATTTATCCCTTGGCTCGAGTTGTCTGTCGTGACAGCCCAGCTGCGGTAGGGCCTAGCCTTAAAGTGATGGATGGGATGGTGGACGACCGGGGGGAACAAAAAATTGATTTTGCTGGTAGGTAGGGGTGCTCTCAATAATCTCATGCGGCGGTAGCGCGCGTCTGGCTACCACTGCCACTGTGCAATGGGCGGTGAACTCGAGTTAGGGTCTGGGGAAGCTTCGAAGTCTACAATCTCTGTGTCAACCTTAAGTCCTATCCACCAGATAACAGATAGAGAAATCTATGTAGATACACTGCTGTATGGAGCTCGAGGAAATGTGGACTGCCTAGAGATTTGGAGATTGTGATTGAGTATGAAGTTCACTATCACCTTTTGTAAAAATATATATCTATATAATTGTGATTTTTTCAAGTCCCAATATTTCAGGAACTATCCAGGCACTCAAGTTTCCAAGTGCTGAAAATATCGGGGGTGCTGCTTTGTTCTGTTCGGTAGGAAAGAGTTCAAAGAACACCGCACATCCACTTCGACGCGGCTAATTTGGGGGAAATGCGGTTGATCTCGTGTATTCCCGTGCCGCACATCGCCATTGGAAAGATTGACGCCAGTTGATTGCCCCCGTCCGCAAGTACGTTCTTTTCCGCTTCTTCTCCGTTGCATCGCCTCGTTCTCGCGCAATGCGCAATGCCAGTCAGAGAATGTTTGTTTCTATTATGACTTCTACCTTGTACCTGCCTGAGAAATGAAGTCTTCTCCTCCTCCACCACCCCCCGGAAAAAAAAGATATTTAACCTTGCGGGAAGGGCTGACCGCGGTGATGCCACTAATATCGGGGTACTTGACCATTTGTGATAGCCGGCCCACGCAACGGCGCGGCAGGGGGCAGTAGAGTAAATGCAAAGAAGTGGTTTCAGCCAGCTGAACATAGTTTCCACCTCCATGATCATGACCATCAATCAGTCCTGGCGACATGAACCTCCTCACTGCAAAGAAAGAGCACTAATAAAGTGAAATAGGTAAATAGGCTGCCATTTATCTTGATACGTTTTAGGTAGCTGCGAGCACTCGAATTGACAGTCGAGAACCGACTTGTCTGGACTCTGGACAGTGCCCACTGCGATTCTTCAATTGGGTATGGATTTCGAAAAATCAAAGCGATTAAACCGCGGCTGATAATATTTAGCTATTTACGCACGTAGCGATAAAGATTTTTGGAGGTGTGCAAGCACACTGTTCTCTCTTTGTGCATATGAGATTATTCTCATTATTAAGAGATTCAACTTCATCGAGACAAAGAACTCACCATACCGGGCCAGTCAGCAGTGGAACACTGACCGAGAGGGTAGACTGGGGCGCTTCCGCGCTTCTGCCAGACAGGGGCCCCGTCGGCTCTTTCCTGAACGAGCTTTCAACGGTCCACAGCATCTTGACTCTTGGTTGCGCCTTCGCCGTCCAACCGCATGCTGCATAATCTTCCTGTATTGTATCCCAATCAAAAAGGACTGTACTCATCTTCATCTTTGCCCGCCTTCATTTCAGGGTATTTCCAGGGTTGGCCAAATTCTCGCTTCTCCAAAGAAACCGTTTCCTCGGCTCTTCTAGTACGCATGCATATTGCTGCATGGAGGTGATCGTGATATAGGTGTGGTGGGGTGGTGGTTGTGGTGGTAAAGCAAATTCATATACTTAGTAACCCCACTCCACCCTTCCAGCTGCACAGACGTTCAAACCAGATACTGCAAACCGTGTTTTTCCCCCCTCCCCCCCTTGTGCGCCCCCTCTTCACGAGATTCGTTCGTTGACAGGTGTCCCACGTCTTCTATTTTTGACGATCATCAAGATCATCCTAACAATTGAAGCTAGCTCTGCACAAACGCCTTTTTCTGCATCAAGGGATTTCCCTCGATATCATACACTAACTAACCCCCTTACCTCAGGCTAAGGGTATCTCAGACAGTGCGACTTTATTATAATCTCATAGCCGTGGAACCACATGTTATTGAATGACTTAAATACCTACACAGCCATGCGGGGGAATCTTTGTAGGCGATGTCGAACTGTGTAGGCCTAGCTCCCTCGATTGGGGTCAATGTGCTCAGACAGTGGAGCATTACAGAGGAACCCGGCCTACGCACTGAACCGAAAGATGATTCGGTGTTCATCCAGTATCTCATTTTTCTTCCAATCACCCACGGGAGACTTTCCTGTCCTCGTATTTACTCACGGTTCTATAGCTGAAGGGCAGTCCATTGGTAGCGACCTTCGGATACCTCGGGCCAGGGTCTAGCTCTGAAACTCTTCTCAAATCTGATATTTCGCATAGCATCAAGAGATAGATGCACACTACAAGTAAATGCTCGAACTAGTGCCGCATCCCGATCATGGCGTCTGCCCTATTCCCCAGAATCAGCTACTTGGCCCGCTTGCGCTTATATTTTGATTGACCGTCGACAGTATTAAACGCGGCGGAATGAGTAACATGGACGTAGTATCATGTAGAGTATCCTCTAGTCAGCTAGATCAAAAGAAGAAAAAGCAATAATGGCTGTCGATCCATAGATGTATTGCCATCAAGTACGTGGCCCGCTTAATAAAGAGAAAAGTGATGATGGCGCTGATAATTAAGAAAGGTATCGCCTATCTTCTTATCAACAGGAGAAGTTGTACTACATAACTGTGGTTTGAGTTTGCGAGTACGTACGGGGCAAGCACTGACGCAGAGTCAGATCACACATCGTTCAACCAGGCTTTGCAGATGCATTGCAGTTCAGTTTTACTCCTTCCAGTTCTAGTACTATCTTGCTGGTCGCCGGTCGTTTGCCTATTTTTTTTTTGCTTTTGCTTTGATGCCGGTTGGAGGGACATGGCCATGGGCATGGGATTGTGTGGTGCACATTTTGTGCGGCAATACCTGATTACTTACCCTAGCCCTGATCTCTTTATTGGTCTCCATATTTCTTTTCTGCAGAAAGGGAACCGAGAGGAATTTTTCTCTGCGGAGAATATATTGGGTTATGTGATACGCCCGCAGTGTATCAAATACGTAGCCCCATGCATTAAGGGTTCAATATGCTGACAATCTCACATGACAAACCAGCATGCGTAGCATTGAGTACCCGCGCGTAATTGATTCCTGAGTTCGAACAAGCCAATCGTTTTGAAAAGACTCCGGGCTGAGGATCCTCCATCCCCCACCCACTCACTTAAAAAAAGATGGTGATTGGTTGACGAAGCAGTCCTTTGGTGCTTTCTTTCTTTATTGAGATTTAGTGGGGTGGAACTTGGTGGGGAACACCTCGTCAATAATTACCTAATTCGGTTTGATTGTCTTGTGCGAGAAGGAAAAACTCGCCCCTAACCCTGGTAACGAATAATCGTCACAGATTGGGTGTCTGAATTATAAAAAAAGTCTAATTTATAGATGGGTCACAGGTTATCGAGACTGTGTCCTCCATTGTCGCCGCATCACAAACTTCCTTTGTGACACCTCTTTCAGTAACTTTGTCCTTTAAGTCTTGGCATATATATCACTCCACAAATACAGAGAGATATCGACACATGTACTGAAAGTTTATTACGCCTCGACAGGTCTTACTTCAACAAGAGACAGTCTTTGAACGCCAATTCTAATTCTACAAGATTAGAACACACCTCCCTACTACAGTACAACGATGTTTTTCCAGAGAATACGTTATGATAGCTCAAACATTCGAAGTACCACCGGCCTGGAATACATTTGGTTTCATTCAAGCAATTAAACATGCCAAGCTTGTAAGGCATCTAAAACTCTTTAAACAATGTTTTTCACAATTTACACAATTCACACGAAAGCTTGATCATCAATTGATTACAGACTACCTCCCCAATGGGGAGATTAGCCCTCAATCACAAGCTAGGGGCGTTGTTGAAGGGCCGGGGGAATAGAACAAATCCCTCAAGTCCAAGGCTCCAATTCCCGGGTTCTCGAGATCAAGGCTTCATCTCAGTCATTCTCAAACTCATCGTTTCTCGGTGATCACCTCCGGGAGGCGTAAGGTAAGTCTCATCAAAGCAAGCGAATTGCGCTAAGAAAATTTGGCAGTCATCTAGCTAATCATAACAGGTGCTTACAGGTCATCTAACCCAGCTACCAGCCAATCCCTAAAATATGCAATGACCAAGGGACAGCAGCAGATATCGGAATTGACCAATTCCCTAAATTAAGCGCCCGCGGAACCTACTCGTCCCCCACCTTACCTCCCCTCCTTCGTACTCAGCTACCGGCGGTACTCAGCCCCTCGATAGCTCTGTTCGATGCTTAGCGGGCGGCCCTACGCAAGGCACTCTCTCTCACGGGATTCATATTAGAATCTTCGGACTTACCCCGCCACGTGAAGTTGAAACGGCCGAAGGGGGCTTGATATTGCCCCTGCATGGATGGATAGATATAGACATTCATGTGTTCTCACTCGTCTCAGTAGAGCATCCAGGTAACACTGGTTCCCACCTTTCGGTATATTCCTAAATTTGGCGAGCTGAGGGGATAGGGGGCAAATGAATCGAAGGCATCAGCGAATATTCCAGATTTTGTCTCGTGGTCTCTGAAACACACAGGTGACTGTCCCTACCATAATTACGGTGTTTCTACCCCAGATGTGTAGCCAATTGTTTTACCACAACCACACAACGGCAATCACCATCCCAACCATTGATAATGAGAACAAAAACACCGCACTGTCACGTCCTGCACGCAGACTGACATCATAGGAAACTCAATGATCCAATCCTCCCCCTAATCCAATGGAATAGTGGAATAATTTGACAGAACATCTATAGGGAGACTGGATGTAGTTTCCTGCAGTTGATGGCAAAGACACATCTAAGTACATGCACCTTGCGTACCCTGCTTAAACATCCGTGAACTGAACTAAACCAAGCCATCTCGCATGAACTTGAAAGCTCTGCCTACTTGCCTACGATGAGGCTGAAATGACAGGGCATATCTCATCCATATCAATCTCAGCCTCAACGGCGAATTCCCTTCGTTAGGCCTTCCATACATTCCCGGAGAATTCTTTCCAACGAAAGTAGCGATCTAGGGCATCCGAATCGGCCAACCCCAATGCTTGTGGGGGGAAGCGGGAGTGGGGGCGTCAACGGGCATTTAACGCATGAATTGAGGCAACGAGGCAGGGTAGCTAGCTGCAGGACATGATGTCAGTCCCATGTTGGAGACGGAGGTTGGTTCATATCCATCCGCGCGATTGATTCTGATACTGCGGGTTCTGCTGGGTTCGAAGGCCGTCCCGTTTCTTTCTTTCTTTCCATTCCATGTATAAGCCACCCTTTCTTATGCCTCATGCGCGAGGTATCGAGGATTGCGTTTAACCGACTTGCGTTCTTTTTTGCACAAGTGCGGAGTTGAGTCTGCTTCGGCGCGTAGGCGGCTACATCCGCGCTAACTCTATTTATTATTGATAGCCCATAGCTTGGCACAAAGTATAGTAGGGTCGCGGCCGCTATTACGTAATCATCCGGAGAGAGCTCTGCAGGATTTGGCGAGAGGAAGGAGGAGCGATACCCGCCCATGCAATGTGAGGCGTCAGACTGTCCTCAGGCATGGTCCGAATATAATAGATTAGAATTACCGGCCAGCATACTCCAAAGGACGAGATATCCATGGCCCGTCCAATACCTAAATGTTGTTATTCGGTACGTGCGCTTCCTCTACTTGTATGTTTCTATTAATTCGAAACGCTGGGAATGCTACTACTGCAAGATTTTCCACTCTACTAATGCTGACATAAACTGTAGGGCTACGCAAGAATCTAAACCCTTTAATGCAGAAGTGGGAGCTTGTTCGTTACACAATGAAGCGAGGAACCCGAAATATAACCCGGCCCGGGCATGGATTGGGATCTTGGAGTCAATAGGGAGAGCGGATCTCGGAACGGCCCAGCTACCTCAGTGCTGGTTATTGTAGTCTTTGGTGTTGTGGCATGGCTACATAATGCAATATACCGGTGGAGAGGTTCGCCCGAAACTTTGAAATTCGGTGTCTTTACAGAAGCAGGCATCGGCCGGAAAAAGGAATAGCCCAAAGAACCAACACAGAAGGGGGAACAGGACAGGATGGAAGGGGAACTCAGCGATGTGGTTTGCGTCGTACCACTTTCTTAACCTGGGGAGATTTTCAACCGAGTATTTTGACTGCACATGCCAACATAAATGTAGTAAGGACTTAATTCCTCAGGTACTTGCCCTAAGTACTACGACCAAGAAGGAAACCAGTGTAACGGCCATACTCCGAACCTCACACGGAAACACGGTTAATCACTCGGCATCTTCCGCAGGCCATAGCGCATTCACCCTCTTCTCATTGGAGGCTGTTAGAATGTAGCCCCGTAGATCCTCATCGGCCACGTCGTCCGATGCTTCCTGAAGGTTTCTGAGGAATTTTTCTTGAAGTCGGCACCCTTGTCGAAAGCTTGGTCTACATGTTCATCCGGTCTCTTGGTATGGATCAATCATGGCACACAACAACAATAACAACAAATGGAGATGATAAACAGCCTCAGGCGGAGGGAATGACAGATAAAATAAACAATATAAACGAAAAAGGCGGAGGATGATAAGGCCCGACCTCCGCAACGTTAATAAGAGCCCCATCTTAAGCGAGATAATATCAAGAAATCCATTGGTCGTTCCTCCATCTCCGGCATGGGGGCAGGCGAGTAAAATAGCAAAATACATACGCTCGTACAGTACGGGAAAGGGGGATGGAGTGCTGCATGTACCCTAATTCGCATCATTTGCGAATTTTGAATTGAAACCGTATCCTAATAGGAGGTATTTTATAGGTATGGTGCCCTAGGCCTACCCAAAACAGAAGCTTCCAAATGATGACAACTACAATCAAGATTTTTCCAGATGTGAATGCTCCCGGTACTCCATCACCCCAATCAGTCGTGGGCAATCATGTAGCGATGTAGAGTACCAACTCTAGGGACCACATAAACACATACACAGCTGTAGAGCAACTACTTTTCTGGGCCGCAGACTCAGGTTCATGGGAAATTCCCAAACGGCCCCCGCGTCCCAACGGCTCACAATCCCCATAACGGCGAGAGTTCCGACGAGTCGATCCAGGGGAACGGTAAACTAAAGTACTCTATCTAATGTACATAGAGTACCTACCCAGAGCTATTAGGCGGGATGCGATGTGATGGGGGATGAGTTAGGGATGAGTCAGGAAGAAAGCTAGGATAGGATCTCGATTTTATTTGATGGGTAGTTTATCCGCAGTAACGACGTGTCTTGTCTAATAACTCATGATACATGCACTCCGTAGTCGAGGAGGTAAGGGACATGAAGTATGTAGTAATGTAGGCACTTCTACTTGAGCTTTGCAGGTGTAGGTACATAGCTGAGTAGAAGCGAAGCGAGGTGAAGTGTGTATTTTTTTCCTTGACCGTCTTCACTTTCATGTACATAGGGCCATTGTCGTATGTTTTGGATCTGAAGCAGTCGGTAGCTACCCACATTTACATACAGTCACGTTATCTCCTAGGATTCAATGATCATATTGAGTCGAACACCACCATGTCCTCTCCCCACGCTCCACCGTGGGCATCCCTCCCCAAAACAAACAAATACCTCAAAATTATCTTCAGGCTCATCGCATCTCCAGATTTTATGTAGCACGATGATGGTGATGCCAGCCATCTCTCAAAACGACGCCATCAAAAGTCCACATAACGTGCAAACATAGAAAAATAGGGGGGGTGGAATATTCGGGAAACATCCCGGATCAGTATACGCATGTGTCCCAACGGCTATTCCACTAGTGGGGAGTGGGGGTGGGAGATTGAAATCGGGGAATTTCGTCAACAGAAACAAGAGTTATTGGGAGGCTCACTAGCTTGAGGAGGCTCAGAGGAGGCACGTGGAATGCCAAGCGGTTTGAAGAGCTTGGGGGCGGAAGAAGGGTGGGGGAGTTTTAACTCTAACGAGTGGCACGTACTGCAGCACTGTTTTAGTAGGCTGAAATGTGCGTATGTATTAGTGTAGTTATGGGTGTGATAGTAATCAATTAAGGCACAGAATCGGATGTCCGGGAGGATTGTAGAAATATGGTTTGATAGAGGATATAGGGTTTTGTCGAGCACATAGCGGCGACAGAAAAGGCTTGAGCCGAAGTAATTTCGCGGTTATTTTACTAGACCTTCGGCTGGCGCTTATCGTTTATGGGAACAGTATCCTTTCCCATCGGAAAGGTTGCATGATTTGGAATTTGTATTTGGATATTTGTATTTGAAGAGTATTAGAACATCAAGAATTTAGATAATACTCTACAAACGATCAGCCAAGAAGATTATAGAGCACTAGTACTTCTTCATGATTGCTGGATTGACTCTTATAGTACACGAGGAAGTCCGCCGAATTTGATATACAACCGTCTATATCATAGCAGATTTGAAAACCTATTTCAAGAAGCGCAACTGGATATCTAAGTCAGCATTTGATAGAAAACCATTGGTAAAAGTGGAGAATCGACTCACGGATCTTTCCCGAAGCTTATAAAGCATCCGTCTAGTCTATGATCTTCTTCCATATAACGATGTACAATCATCGCATCCTGGATTCCAGCGAATATCAAAGTGGCCTGTAGATACCCATACTGATTTACCTCCCATGACACATCTTGCACCTTTGGCTCACCATGATGAGTGTCAAGATAACGCGAGACATATTGTGATGTAAGTCTTAAGAGTAAATCTGTGAGGCCTGCCTCGCATTCTCCATCCAATCCTACTGAATTCTCAAGGCTCTTCCGGTCCCAGCCCAGAATATCTAGGACGCGACTGGCGTTGAGTGTTTCAATAGCATCAAGAACTTCCTGCGGCACAAGCGTGCCCTGGATATCCATCTTCACAATAATTTGTTTCTTGACCGTATTTTTATTTTCATCAAGGAAAACGAGCGTGACCCCTTTGGCTTTGGTGGCTTCATAGAATTGTTTGGCTACAAGAGCCACAACAAAATTTACTAACGCTATCCCATTTTCTCTGCTTATCTGAATGCTTTCAATAAGTCCCGAGCCTGAGCAGATTTTAGAAATTTGTTTCAAGGTCATGTTGTGAGGGAGACCGATTAAGAAAATGCTTCGTAGATTCCTTTCTGACTCATCGGCAACTATCTCCGAGGGCTGCTCTACGGATTTCACGGGCGTGATGTTCGATTTTGGGGCATCCTCTTCCACTTGCGGATCTTCTTGTTCATGCCGTGCCTCTTTTTCTTCATATTCTTCATGTTCCTCATGACCTTCCTCATTTCCTTCATCGCTGTTTGATCGGTTCTGGCGAGACTGAAGGGTTACCAGCTCCATATGCCTCCAGATCTCTTCATGGGATGGTATCGCGAACTCAGTGCGTTTACTTTCACGATCCCCAATAGCTATTAGTGCTGCTACATTTTTGTAATCTTCATTGAGCTCAGTGGATTTTATCGAAGAACATTTCCCATATATTTCCGTATCGCCCTGATAAAATCTGTGGACAGGCTCAAATGGCAAACAAGGGTTTGGGGGTATATGTCTAGATTTCGTCAGGTACTGTGTGTAAGATTTCCTCTTCCGAATCTCTTGGTGATTTAACATGAATTGTCCCGAATTGTGGCTCCTAAATGGTTGACTGTTTTTTGGGGAACTATTTGAGCAATTGAGGGTAGAAGTTCCGTCACGGCGAGAATTTTGTGGACTCTGTAGTTGGCCATGTGATAGGGTTCGAGGCTGACCACAAGATGGGGTTCGGGGTTGACCGTATAATACAGTTCGGTGCTGGCCATACGATTGAGTTCGAGGTTGACCGTGTGGGTGATTATTCGTTTGATTCGTGAACTGAATCCCCTCTTGACGACTATACTTCGGAATTTGTGATAGAGGAAATGGAGGAAGAGAATGCGCCGGGGATGGTTCATTAGC